TTTCTTTCTTTCTTTCTTTCTTTCTTTCTTTCTTTCTTTCTTTCTTTCTTTCTTTCTCTTTCTTTCTTTCTCTTTCTTTCTTTCTTTCTTTCTTTCTTTCTTTCTTTTCTTTCCTTTTCTTTCTTCTTTCAGACCATTTTCTGAATTTTTAAAAGCAGCTATATTGAGATATAATTTACATACTATAAAGTTCACTTATTTAAAGTGTACAGTTCAGTGGCTTTTAATATATTCACAGAGTTGTGCAACTGTCATCACAACCTGATTGGTTCAGGAAGCATAGAACACCAGATGGAGCTTGCTGTGAGAAAGACTCATGTTCAAATCCTTGTTTCTGCTACTTACAACCTGTGTGATCTTGGGTGAATTTCTTAAATTTTTGGTGACTTTGTTTTTTCCTAGCTGTGAAATGATTGATTCATCAGTCATACAGTTGTTGTAAGAAAAAAAATGACGCATTGTATATGAAGCCCCTACACCTAGCCTCAGGGTATGGCACAGAGTAGACACTTGGCAAACTTTCTTTCCTTTCCCTCTGTGACCCCTGTACCCTTCAGCTGCTGGACCAACACAGGATAGTGAGCAGGGACAGAGATGTCTCTGATAGATGATATTCCTGAGCCACCTTCTCCTGCCTCAGAAGCATGTGGGAGGATGCCTAAGACAATGGTTGTTCACCAGTTTGCCTGTCAAGCCCTGGGGGACTGCCTGCTCTGACCAAGGCATCACCCAAGATGCCCCACTGTCCACCAGTCAGCAGTCCCTGCTTATTTTTTCCCCACTATCTTTGACCTATCTCTCAGAAAACCCTGTACACACCCCACTTGGACTGCAGTAAATCATGGCCTTTTTGTCTTCAGTGGTTTCTTCCATCAGTGTAGCCATTTCTGGAGGGCTCTCAACTCTACATACTTTTCTTTGTCATCATAGAATATTAATATTGGAAGAACCCTAGAGATAAGCTAGTTAAACCCAGTTGAACAAACTGAGGCCCAGAGAAGTGAGCTAACTTGGTTACATAGTTGGCATAGGTCAAGACTAGAATACTGTCAGCATGTCATAAATATCTGCAGAGTGAAGAAATGCCATTTGGTACATTACATCATCTCAGCTGACCTAGGATCCAGGTTGCAATGTGCTGGCTTGAGTTCACATTTTGATCTCACCTCTCTATTCCTCTGCATCTAGAGAACAAGGATAATCCTGTTGTTGGTGGTGTTCACTCCTAAGGAATGAGATCAGAAGCCTTGCAAAGTGTACTGCACTAAGTGGTTATAATATTTATGTAGTCAACATTGTTTGGAGAAAGTGGAAATAACAACTTCCATCCTAATGAGAATCTGCACATTTGGTCTGAATCTTGCAATTCATTTGGGTTTCCCGTTTCTGAGTGCAGAGTGCTGACATTTTCCAGGCAGCTCTGGCTTCGGAGGGATCCAGACCCAGGGGATTTGTTCCCTGCAAGTCACCCTGTAGTTAATGGATGGTATAGTTAGTAAAGGGTTCTGTATCAAGCCCCTGAGCATGGTGGGTGGAGGGGGGTGGATGGGAGAGAGGTAGAAGACAGCAATAAAGGCAAGAGAAAAAATTGGATATAACAGTAAACCCCTAGGATTCCTTTAAATTAATTTTTAGGTTCACATATAAAATATCCAGGCCATAATTTTTCAAGCTAGCTATTTAGAAACAGTTATGCCTTCTTTTAGAAGCAGTATACAATGTAAGAGAATTTTCTCTCTCTCTCTCCCCTCATATCCACCCCCCCTCCTCTACCACTCTCTTCCCCTTTGTGAACAGAAGGTTATATCCTTAGTATGCAGGGACTAGGCAGGTTACAGACTCAGATCCCAGGCCAGGGAAAGAGTCAAAACTTTCCACCCAAAGAACTGATGAGCGTCCTAATTGAAACTGAATTGAGCCTTTCAGCAGGCCCCTTGTTTCCCTAAATCAATTTGATTTCATGTAAACATGTATTTCTTCTGCACTTTTCCACCTACCACACCATGCATATAACAATGCTTTCGCGAACATTAATGTTTTTGCCAGATACATTTTAGAGAAAGGGTCGGGTACGGGTAGGTAAGGGAAAGTATCACCCACTGGGAGTGCATTCTAAGGAACTCAGTCCAAGCAAAACTTTTCCCAAATCAAGGACTTGGTAAGAAAAAGCACTCACTTTGGTTTTAGGAGGGGAAAAGGTGTAAATCACGCTTGGGGGTGCTGGAGGATAGATGTGGTGTGGGAAGGAGGGCTATTGTTTGGAAGGAGACTCGAGAGAGAAAAAAGCAAGTTTTAAGCATATCCTGAGAGAATCTTCATGAGTTCTGAGTGGCTGTACCTGCCTCTTCTGTGAATGTACAAGGGCAAGAATATTTCCCCTTACAAAAATAAAATGTTTGCATTCTGATCAACCTCTGATTGCTACTGGCAGGCAGACGTTTCACTGCACATTAGGAAGCAAAGGCAGGTTGTGAATTTGAACGCTGCATAAAGCAGTGCGGAGCAAAAGGGGAAAAAAAAAAAAAACCAGCGTGGAGCATTTCTCTGCCCTGTCACTCTGGAGGTAGCTCGGGTAGCTCGGGTGAAGACCCTGATACCTTCATGGCACAGGAAGTCCTGCCTAACCTCCCAGCCCAGCCAAGATGGAGAGAGAGAAGTGAAAAGCAGATGTTATAACATCATGAAAAAAATTTTAGCTGTTATTTCCAAATTCACAATTCACAGCCCACCTTTATTTGTAGATAGGGGTCAGGAGCACTTGGCCAAATATTTTTAGCAAATCTAGAGTAAAACAGCCTCAAATACAGAAACCATTTTGAAACACACAGTTCCCATTCTCTCCTCCTTGATCGTTTGCTGTTTATCTTTCCGTCAGATGTTTTTTCTTTAAGTGCTAAATACAATTAACTGGAGCACTCTCTAATTCTTTTGTGTGACTCTTAAAAAAATAAAAATAAACAGAAGGTCACCATGAGAGCATCTTACCAGCCGTTGCTTTAAAATAGAATTTTTGGAAGCATTGTTGATTTCTACTTATTTTTGTTGGTAAATCCTGGAGAAAAAATGTATATCTTTTCCTTTAAAGTTCTAATTCAAGGCATGGATGTGAGAGTTCTGGAGGGACTTTGGGACTGCGGTAAAATTTCGTTGTCATAGTAACAGAAAGGGAAATAGGCCTAGCTCACCTGGGACTTTAATACTGCAAAAGCCGGATTTTTTTTTTTTTTTAAGGGAAAGGACTCTGCAAGTGAGATAAACGAAAAACTTATTGTGGTTTGAAACAAAATCCCAAACATTAAAATAGGTAAATGGCTGAAAAGGCCACCTCTGCCATTTTTCTGGTTTGATGTAGTTGTCTGATTAAAGATACCCAGTTTTTAAAATTGCACAAATAGTTTATTTCAGAGACGGCTGGCTTAAAAATATGCCTTATGACGAATGATAACCTCAGACCATGATTCAGTGCCTTTGTATTTTCCCGGATAATGTATAGAAGGTCTGAAAGGACATTCACAACTTGTTATTAGTCATAAAAACCCCAGTGTATACCTGCAAAGGCTGACCTGGCTTTGGATGGCAACATACTGTTTTCTGATTTTATATACATTGTTTAAAAAGACCAGGGGCCCTTTGTGTGTGAGGGTACACGTGTGAGGTGTGTGAGCATGGAGGTGCGTGTGGCCAGTGGAAAGTCACATGCGTGAGAAACCCTGGGATTCTGGGTGAAGTCTTGCTATTATTTACCCTGGAGCAAGACATGTTTACACGGCAGGAGTCACTGCTGCTTTGGAAGCCTGATTTTTGGGAGACAGAGTGCCCTTGCAACTCGGGGGTGGGTATACAAACCAGAGCCCACCCTGTGACCCGCTTCACAATCCTCAAATCGCAAACATCCGAATTTGCAAATTGCAAAGGGTCAGTGGTGTTCCTTCCCAGGCAGGGCCGGCTGAAATTCCCCAGATGGGAAATACAATCCCTTTCCAATCAAATCTAATATAATGCAGATCTATTTTCTCTTAAAAAATGTTTACTCCAAAATGTAACACATTGCTTTCTCTTCACAGATTCTTTCTAAAATTTTTCCTCAAGTGCAATCAGAATTGTTTGAAAACAGCGGGAAACCCGAGGGACATGAGAAGGTTTCAGGTAAGGGGTCTGCAGTTCTTCCCTGTTACGTGAGTCATCCTGTTTTCTCTCTCTTTAGCACTTTCTTTCTTTTTTCCTTTCTTTTCTTTTTTTCCTTGGAAAACATTATTCACCGACACTGCTAACAATAAAGATGACTCTAAATGATATCCCTCGTCTAACAGTATTGAGGGCTTCTACATTCTGTAGTGTTTAGGCCTCTCGCCTCTGTTGCCAAGGCCCGAGGGGAGGGGCACCAACCCAGGCTGGAGATTTGATTTTCAGCCCGCAGGCTGCCCTTCGCACACACAGCTGCCCACAGCAGGAACCGTGTTCTTGATATTCAGCCGCCTTGGGATTTTTCAAAGCAGCTTCTCTGTGCTTTCTGCAAGCAATAGCCTCTTCCCTTCCTTTGCCACCGATTAACTATGCAGTGGTCTCTCTCCGAGTCTCTGGGAAAGCAGCGGCCCAAACAGCCGTGGTTACTTTAAGATCACAGCATGACAACAAGACCCACGGGACAGTGACCCAGCTGCCGGGCAGTTAAATCTGCCACCGGTTTCATCACCCTTGCCACTGATGTACTGAGGATACGAGCTAATAAAAACACAGAGAGAGGCAAAGTGTGTCAGGTTGGAGATGAGAGGAAGTGCAGTCCCCCTTGGCCCCCTTCCTTAATCTTTGAAGGACCCATATTTAATCCGCCAAAAGGCTTTCCTGCCATTCATACACCCTGCCGAAATACAGAGCGCTCCCTTCCCCATAGAAACATGGAAAACATGTTAAACAATAGCATTCAGGCTTGAGACTTAAAAAAAAAAAAAAAAAAAAAAGTCTGGCAGCCACGGGAGGGATGGGGATGATTAGACTCGTGTTTTGGGTGGGAACAGTGAGGTTCTGGGGGTTTTGTAACTCGCATCGAATTGCAGGAAGGATGCGGTGGAACCAGGAACCGGGAGGGTCTGTCTGGTCAAACCCCTTCCACCAGACCACGAGTTTGCACCGTGGACAGCTGCTAAGTGGATGCCTTGCTGTTGACTTTTTGAAATTCTTTGTAATTTCAGAGCCAGGGGTCACACATACTCATTGGGCACGGGACTGCACAAGTAATGGGGCTGCTCCTGCCAGCCACCCGGAGAGCTTCTGGGGCTTAGGAACAGAGTCCTTCAGGAGTTCACGGGGGAGGTGGGTGCACACAAGGCAAGAAAACTACTTTGCAAAAAAAAAAAAAAAAAAACACATTCTTGTCTTTTTTTTTTTTTCCCCCACACCGCATCATGGTCATCAAACAGTCTTGCTGGCACTGGGACATTTTTGGTTAGTTATTTAACACAATTACCAGCCTCTCTTAAAAAAGTCAAACGCCTCCTCTCTGTCATACAAAGTTTCCCCTGCTGTATGGTATGAAGACAGGGAGAAATAAAATGAGCTTTCTTAGGGATGACGCAGGATCATTGTGTGAGGTGGAGGCTGATGGAGATTGTAGGTGTTCTGTGTTCCAAATGCAAACGTAAATAATTTCAGTCCAAAAAAGTATGAGATTCAAAAGGATTCCAGAATACTTTGATGGCCAAAGCTTGGCTTTCACTTCCCAAAGAAACAGAGGTAGGAAGAGGGGTTGGCAGTTCGGATTTCTATCCCCCTATTCTCTACCTTCACTTCCAAAGAGTTTTAAATTTGAGAATGCTCTCATCAATTTCACGAGGCTTTTAACAGAGTGTCTTGTTGTTTTATTTTTCTCAAATTTTGGAAATGAACTCACTAAGCACACGCATGCTCATATTTCCTCTACTTCTTCCGTTATTTACTAAGTGACAATTTCAGTGTGCCTGAGCTTTTAACAGGGTTAGAATAAATATTGCTGATCTCAAAATGATGGGAGGTTCTCATCCAATGTGAAAATATTGACTTCTGCAAAGAAAGTGAAAGATTTTTTTTTGGTTTGTGGGTTCTAATTGTCTTATTTTGGGGTAGAGCTAAAATTAATTGGCATTTTGGGGGGTATTTTTTATTGAGATAAAATTCATATAACATATCATTCATCATTTTAACCATTTTAAATTGTGCACCTCAGTGGCTTTTAGTGTATTAACAATGTTGTGCAACCATCACCACTATACAATTCCAGAACATTTTCATCATCCCCAAGTGAAACTCTATACCTCCCAATTCTCTTTTCTCCCCACCCACTGACAATCACAAAATCCACTTTCTATCTCTATGGATTTTTCTATTGGGGACATTACATATAATTGGAATCATACAACATGTAGCTTTTTGTGTCTGATTTCTTTCACTTAGCATCATGTTTTCAGGTTCATCCATGTTGTAGCAGGTGTGAGCACTTCATTCCTTTTTATGGCTGAATAATATTCCATTGTAAAAATGTACCACATTTTGTTTGTCTATACATCAGTTGACGGACACTTGGGTTGTTTCTACTTTTAGGCTTTTATAAATAATGCTGCTATGAACATTTGTGTACAAGTTTTTTGGTGTGTGAACATATGTTTTCAATTCTCTTGAGTATTTATCTAAGAGTAAAATTTCTGAGTCATATGTTAGCTCTATCTTTAGCTTTTTGAGGAACTGCCAAACTGTTTTCCACAGTGGCTGCATCATTTTATATTCCCACCAGTAATATACAAAGGTTCCAATTTCCCCATATCTTTGCCAACACTTGTTATTTTCTGTTTTTTTTTTGTCTTTTGTTTTTGTTTTAAGTTCTAGCCATCCTAAGAGTGTGAAGTGGTATCTCATTGTGGTTTTGATTTGTCTTTCCTTCATGATGTTGAACACTTTTTCATGTGCTTATAGGCCATTTATTTGTATATCTTCTTTGGAGAAATGTTTATTTGAATCCTTTGTCCACTTTTAAATTGGGTTATGTGTCTTTATTGTTGAGTTGTAAGAGTTTTTTTTAATATATTTGGGATACCAGGCACTTCCTTATCAGATAAGTGATTTGCAAATATTTTTTTCCTATTCCATATTTGTCATCTCACTTTCTTGATAGTGCCCTTTGATGTACAAAATAACTGATAATTTTTATACTGTGCTCAGATTCTATTAAGAGTATACCCTCCAATGAACACTCTCTACCTGGAGAAGGCTACTATGGAGAAAGCCTTGACTATGTGCTATAATGGTCAAGTGAGAGACTTGGATAAAGTTCAAAATATGAAACCAAACCAGAGATTGTAGGTAATCATGGGGAGGGGGGGATCTGAAGGAATGGTAACTTAGGAATTTCTGAAATAACATTTCTTATCAGAATGACAAAGGTAATACTTTAAAACCATATAGATAGTTACTTCATTCCTCCATTTTGTTATTATTAAACATATTTAATCTGAAGCATTATTTTGTAAAGATTTGCTCTGAACGGAATAGAAATATGAAATTTTTCTTACCAAATCATGAATCCAACCATACTCCTTCTTCTCTTCCACCTCTCTTCTTTCCCCTGTCCCCCAAACAGTCATGGAACTTGGATTCTTTTTCCCAACATGACCAAATGAGAACAATATCATTACATCAAATTTTTTTTCTAGCCTGAAACAAACCTCTCTTTAATTCAGTTCCAAGTATCTCAGACATATATAAATACATATGTCTATTTATCAAAACACAATAGGTTTTAATCCTTTTTTGGCTCAGATCCTTTTGAGAATTTGGTAAAAGCTATAGATTCGGTTGCCACAAAAAGCTACGTTTAAACCAACATCTCTTAGGGTCCCATGGTCCCCTGACCTAAAGAAATGAAATTCATCTACCAAATGGGCATCCTCCATGTAATTTAACCCTTACAAAGAGGACCTGTCCCCTTGGGAGTTCACTGATAATCTTCCCACTTTCTGGTACATGCCATCTGTTCCAGGTGACTCCTGGATCCATATCCTCAGACCTCACCCTTCTCTGGAGCTGCAGAAATCCCACTCTACCTTCTTCCTGGGCGTCTTCCCTTGGCTTACTAATGAGCACATGTTCACAACAGAATTTGATACTCATTCTCTGGATCCGTGCCTTTCTCATTTATTGGTGAAGTGTCAACTTCCTTCTCCTAAGTATCTGCTAAATCTGTCTCTTCTCCTGAACACAACTGCAGTAGGTCCCTGCTTCTACTCCTTCTTTGTCCAGTCCTAAAACTCAGATTTCGAAAGGCATGGCTGATTAGTTATCTTTGTACCAGGCACATCCCCTGATGTTTCCATATACCCACCACTCACTTGGCACACCTCACTGATTTCTATTATATGGAATATTACTTGAACCTTTCCACTTGTTTGCCCCTCTACCTAAGAACCCTTCGCCTCTCTCCAATTTGTGACTTCTACTCATGCTCCAAGACTATACCTGAATGGCACCTCCTTTGTGAGGCATTTTCTGACTCTCCCTGACAGACTCCTTGGCTCCTTCTTCTGTGCCATCATTCCATTCTCTACACAGTGCTACTACACTCATTTGTCACATTCTCCTTATCTCCCCACTGGGAGGTAAGTCCCTCAAGGGCAGCAGATTGTATCTGTATCTGTTTTGCTTGTTGATATGTCTCTAGCACCTAGGATAGTTCTTGGCACACAGACTGTCCTCAGTAATATCTGGGGGATGGATGAGTAAATGAATCGGTCACATTGTCTTGCAATTATTGTTCATCTAAGAGACTGTGCTGCTTGAGCGTAACGGATATCTTTTTTTTTTAAGTTTTGTATTTCTCCCCAATGCCTAGCATAATACCAGCCACTGTGCAGGCTCAATAAATTATTATTAAATAAACTTTTTAAGAGAGAGAAGGGAAAAAGGGAAGGAAGAAAGGGAAAAAAGAAAAGATTTCTGTGGTCCCCAAGTATCTAAATCCATGGGCCATACATGCAGAAAATAATTTCTGCCCTTCTTGAAATGGAACAATTGGGTGAAACACCCAGATTAACAGCTTAGTGAAGGAAAAGAAAGAAATTTATGTCTAGTTGAAGCTGTTAAGACATAATGAACCCTATTCTTTATTTCTCTACATTGTGGGT